TAATAACAAAATGAAATGAAATTTCCATCATAGGTCAATCTTCAGCCATTTACTTATTAAATAATTTAAGCTAATTCTATTCAATAATAAGAATTTTGCTGGGCAGTTACTATTAATAAAGATTTTTCAATTGTAGCAGCTGGTTGTAATAAACTAATAAAATTTTATAAATTCCAATAAGGAATGTTGAAATTAAATCCAGTTTTAAATCAACATTAAAGTGAATTGGTCACTTTAAATTTTATGAAATAATAAAATTATTTGATTTCTGGAGATTAAGGATATATTTTGATTTGGTAATATAATAATAATACATGAATGATCATACTGATTGGATTAGATGCATAATTTTAAATAATAATGAAGATCTTTTTATATCGAGTAGTGCTGATAAGACTAAAAAATTTTTGGTTAAACAGAATGAATGGAATTATTAATAAACAATTACAGATCATATTGGTTGGGCCAATCAATTAAGTTGAAATGAATAAAAAAATCAAGTTATATTTTGTGAATATGATGGATTGATATTAGTAATAGAGTAATCAGAATCGAATAAAGATTGGATTGTAAAACAAAAACTACAAGTTGATTGTATCCTAAAACATTTTGAAAGAAAGTTGTCTATTAAGTAAACAACTTAAAAATCTTAATAAGCTAGGTTCCTTTAAAACAATACTTAATTTAAGAATCATATATTAAACCTCATATTGATAAAATTGAGCTTTTATTGAATAAATTTAAAGATAAGGAAGTTATAAAAAGCTAAAATCTTTATCTATATATTATAAAGTTAATCGTTAATTTTTGTTAAAACCACTGCTGATAAAGTGATTGATGATAGTTGATTATAATTGATTATAATTTTAATTCAATGCTGCTGCTTTTTTTTCAAGTATAAAAAATAGATCAATTATGAGGTAAGCGAATATAGTCAGGCATATAAATTAATTAGTCTCTATTAAGATTTTGGTTAATTGACTTGTATATAGCTAAATGCTGGATTGGTTGTAATACTATGATATTTACTATCAAACCATTAAATTGTGAGATTGTCTTTTGAAAACATCTAATTGAGTGGTTCTATAAATTAAATGCATACTGGGTATATGCCATATAAAATTTCCATTAATTTTGAAAACGAATACATTGAGTATTGAATTCTCCAATGCATTCTTTAGGAAATTTTGTTAAGTCTATTTATATAATCCAAGAAATATTCATCTTCAAATTATTGTCCTAATCAAACTAATACATTAATTTGCAATTTTTGATGTTTAAAAACATGTAAGTGTTAGTTTGAAGATCCAAAAGTAATTTTTAATGGACCTGATCTTAAAATATTAATCTAATTCTTACCTTGAAGTCAAATAATTGAAAGCTAGTTTTAAATATATTAACTTAAGTAAAAGTCTTTGTAAAGTAATAGAAATTGAAAGTATCATTTTAACTTAATATTACTTTAATTTAAGGCAGTCCATGGTGTGAAACTATTCTTTTTTGATTGCACAAATTTTATGCAGAGAAATCTAGAATCGAAAGAAAGAAACAAAGAATTGCTTACAAATATATCATTCTAATCATGTCCTTCGTTTTACAAGCTAATTATTCTTTTCTTTCAGCAATTACTAAAAATAAGTACTCTGAATTAAAAAAAAATGTATTAATATGAGAATCCCCTTATTTTTTTAAAATAGAATAGTATCCTGTTTGTTAAAGTTTTATCATTTTTTCCCAAAATAACATAATCATAAAATTATTTCAATTTTTTTTATTCTTTTGGATATAATTCATCTTTAAATTAACCTTACTTTGGCAGAGTTACTTTAACATTTTCTATATTATTAAATAATATACCTATCATCTTTAAATTAACCTTACTTTGGCAGAGTTACTTTAACATTTTCTATATTATTAAATAATATACCTATCAGTTTTTGTTATTGGATGAAAAATTTTGGTAAATTAATGAATTCATTTTCAATGAAATATATCAATAGAAATAATTAGTGATAAATTAGCTTTTTCAAGAATTAACTAAAAAAAATGAGGTTATTACATTTTTCATCAATGATTTCTTTTAGTTAAAGGAAAAAAATTTTAATTGATTTCATAAATTTTTCATATTTTATTGGATTTTAAATAACATAGAACTTAGTTCAAAAAATGAATGCATTCTAGGTCTTGTGGAAAGTTCTGATATGGCTTTTACTAATTTATGATATCTGGGTTATGTGATATTAATAATAAACTATGATGATCATTTTTCTCATATTACCAAGTAATTAAAAACCTAACTAAGATATATGTGATTTAATTTTGAAATAGAAGTCTATAGTGATGAGGGTTATGATAATAATTAACAACTTTAAAAATAGATTATAATTAATAATATTTATATAATGTATTTTTTACTTAATTTTATAATTGAAGTCAAATATATCTTAAGGAATAGAGTTATTGAATTAATTTTCTTATATAAATGTAGATTTATTATTATTAAAGAAAATGTATTATAATAGAATTCAGATAATTTAAATACGTGTGTGTTAATGTAATAATTTAATATATATTATTAAAAAAAATGATTAAATAAGGCAATTTAAAGTTAAAATGTTAAGTAGATGAGCATTAGGAAGAAATTGATTTTATTTGTTTTAATGAGTATTGTACAGGATATAGATTATAATGCTTTGAATGCTTTAAAAAGGGAATCCATCATAATCATGTTGATGATGTCAAAAAAGTAAACAGTTTGATTGAATTCCTTGAAAATAATAATAAATATTGTGATAATTTAATTGATGATCTAAGTCAATATATAGAAAATGTAAATTAATCATTTTCTTTATTAAAAAAAAGAATCAGAAATAAATATTAATTATCAAAAGAAAAATTAGTTAATTTGAATTCTTATTAAATAAATGATTATTTGAATTCAACCGTCAAATTAGCTGAAGATAGAGAATCAATTTCCTAAATTATTGAAGAAAAAACTAAGGAAATCACTCATTCATTTAATAATATATATGAATAATTATAACTATCATCATTTAATTATTATGAAGTTGATGATAATGATAAAAAATTATCTGTAGATCTATAAAAATAAGGTATTTATTTAATAATTAATATTTTAGGTTAACAATTATATTTGGATGATAGGTATTACGAGGCCATAGAACAATTAGATAAATCAATTAAAATAAACCCTAATAACAAGGAAGCTTTATTTTACAAAGGTGTTAATAATCTAATATTAATAGGTTCATGTTTAAAGATGTTAAATCAATATGTAGATGCGATCCCTTGGTTGGACAAAGCATTAGTTATTGACCCCAACCATGTTAATTCCTTAAGTGATAAAGGTATATTTGATCAACTTTATATTAATAGGTGAGTGTTTAAGGTTTTTAAGGAAATATGGAGATGCGATCACTTGTTTGGACAAAGCTTTAGCTATTGACCCCAAACATGTTTATTCCTTAAGTTATAAAGGTAAATTTAATCATCTTTATTTTAATAGGCTAGTGTTTAAGGTTTTTAAGGTATTATGGAGATGCGATCACTTGGTTGGACAAAGCTTTAGCTATTGACCCCAAACATGTTGATTCCTTAAGTGAGAAAGGTAGATTTAATAATCTCTATATTAATAGGTGAGTGCTTAAGATTTCTAAAATAATATGATGAATCTTTAACATTTTTCCATTAAGCACTATACATCAATTCTAATCATACCTTTAGTCTTGATTGCATAGGTATAATTTCATTTATAATTAGGTAAATGCTTACAAGAATAAGAGAAATATCAAGAAGCTCTGATATATTATGAAAGAAAATTAAAGATATAACCTAATGATCAATGGACAAAAGAATAAAAGAGTATTCTTATTTTCTTAATCTAGGATTTTGTTTAACGCAATTGAAAAAGTGAATTTACAAATAATAATCTCATATCAAATTATAAATTATATAATAATAATTAAAAAGGTTTTATTCTCAAACATAAAATCATATTTAGGATTATATTTCAATAAATTTATGAAATATTATGCAATTTATATATCTTTATTACATACTTTCTTTTTAAGAAATTCGAATGTTTATGATTAAAACTATTATATTATTATTTTAACAAAATGCCTTAATTAATCAAAAAAATTTTAATGTATTTAATTTTCCTTTTACATTATTAATTTTAAATTAATTATCATAAAGTAATAAAAAATAGAAAAAAAAAATTTCTATTGTTAATTAATTCAGTAAACAAAAATTTATTAGAGATATATTTTTAATTTGAAATTATTAAATTATGTTAAAAATCAGATATAAAGTTCGCTTTTTTAACAAAATTTTCCAAGTAACAAATTATGTAATAAGACATTTTACAAAAAGTCTAATTTATTTTTCATTTTTATCAAATCTGCTTAGTATTAATTAGGATTGATGAAATCATTTGAATTAATTTCAATTAAAAAGTGCTTATTTTACTGAGGAAATTAATTACTATGTAATTACTTTAATGATTCTTTTAAAATATTAACACCGATAGAGAAAAAACAGTATAATTTATATTCAATTTAATTTTAGTTTATCATGAAATCGTACTGCTGATAGTTGTAATATATGGAGAATTATATGTAAAATTAATGATACTCTCTTTACATTTGCTGACGATTAAATATTATCATTGTTAAATTCAAATTGAACAGCTTTTTCATCTTATGAATTTAAACACTATTTATAATTACCTTGATTCAATATGAATTATAAAAATTACATTGATTAAATATTCAAAAATTAAAAAATAATATGATATAAATATATATAAATTAAAACAAAGTAAAAATTTGTTAAATTAATTCTTATTTTTGTAACTGATGATGATTTTACTTTTATCTTTGTTCATATATCTATTTTTAATAAAATGTCTCTAGAAAATATTTCTTCTCTAAATTGAAAAATAATTTCATAAATTCAAAATTTTCTCTATATTGATAAATATAAATAATAAATTCGATCATAACTTTTAATTACTTCTACATATTTATTAGTTTTAAGATACAAGGATCGCCTTTTTATATTTCGATATATGGTTGCTTATCTTTTTATTCAATTCTAAATACTCCTAAATAGCTTTTCATGCTCTCATAATTTT